TATCCCTTATTCCATGACATTAAATTTGAATCGGTAGACCGTCCTACTCATCGGCAATGAAGACAGAGGGTGTAGGCCGAGAGAAAAAGCCGGCTTAAAAAACTCTCGGTACTCTTTTAAAATAGCAAATCATCATACAAAATGACTATGGCAAACTACACTTATTTTAAAACAAATATCGCAAATTAATTAGAAGTTGCCTGTCTAGCACTAGTCCCAGGCCCTTTTATCAACTAGATAATCGTTAACTTTATAGTAAGTCCTTTTACACAGCTTTTCTTTAATACATTTCTTAAATTTATTAAAAAGCAGAGATAAAAGAGCCTCTGGGATTTTATTAAAGAAAAGTATCCCTTTTCCCAAAAAATAATTACTAACTTAAGAGAGTCTAGTAAGGGGAAATTGCAGCCTGCGTTTGTTCAGAGTATTAACATTATGCGTATGTTCTATTCTAGTAACCTTATCACTATTTTTATATACATCCATAATATTTTCATAAATATAGTATGAAAGCAGTTTATAGACACTGTAAATAATGCACTGAGTGCAAGCAAAACTTTACTGTTAAAGTATGCCATGCTTAATTCGCGAGATAATTACAATTTTATAGCATCCTTACTTCCTAGAACGTTCAATTTCGACCGAGCGCCGTAAGGCCAAGTGGAGCAAAAGAACTTTTTATCTACGATGAAAATTAATCTCACGGTTGTGATTGTAAAGAAAGCGTGCAACTATTGTACAAGTACCGTCACGTAAGTTAAAAATAGATTTCGCTATTAGTGTTTTATTTTACATCCGGGTCCACAATAATAATTAAAAATACCTACCGTTCCAATAATGACGGTGAATACAGCCAGTGTTGGCCGTGGGCTGAGCGACTCTCAACCTGGAGTCTTGCGTTCGAATCATGGCTGTGCTGTATTCTTTCAACGTGCGCTGTTAATCTAATTTATACGGTGAAGTGAACATCGTGAGGAAACCGAAAACAAGGGCGTGGCCAGGACTTAACCCACAACGGACTAAATGAGCGGAAGTTGAGTCCACACTACACGACGGCGTGTATCAGGCACAGAAATCTGTTCACCAACTTGACTAAGGAAAAGAATAATCAAGAAACAGACAGAAATTTGTGAACACGACCAAGGGTCTTTAATTTACACGCGAGCTGGCATTCAAAATACCATTCGTAATTGTAATTATATTCATTGTATATAATAATACAATATAAATAATTACAATAATAATAATAAGTAATTATATTCATTCGTAATAATATTTTAGGCAAACTTGACAGCTGTTCATCATATAGACAAATCTACGACTCGTATTTATTGGTATTTTGAAAGAACTATTTCCTAACATAATAAAAAAAAATTAGTCCGCCCGTATAAACGCGTGACATTCAAATACTACCGAACGTATTCTCTACTGTTATCATCATTATAATATTATAAATGAGGAAGGTTTAGGTATATAATTATGCAATTAATCAAAATATTAAGCAAATTTAACTGTTATTGCTGAAAAGGTCACAAAAAATCGTAATCAAATTACGAGTCAGATTTGTTGAAATTCGCAAAAATAACAAAATGAACGCGGGCGAAGCTGCTGGCGGAAGATTATACATGAGTGTTGTTTTATTGTCTATACCTATATAGTACCACAGATCTACAATATTTACGATGACAAGAACCAGTTGCAATAGGCGTCATCCTTGCATTCCGCGTCATCTTAGGTAACTCTATTATCTAACCAAGGTCTTCTATACAAATATTTATTTATAAACTCGCTTTTAAATGTTTATAAAGAAATTTTTTTATAGCAACAAATAAGCTGCCCAGTATATGTTGATGCGCAGTCGTATTTAGTTCTATCAAAAAATAGTTGGTTTAAGAACAATAAGGTTTTCCTCCTAATATTTTCCTTACTATTTAGGGTAATTCTTGGATGTTAGAAGTTTAACTGTGTTTTCCTATTTTGCTTTTGATTTGAAATATTGTATAATTAGTTTTGCATACCTAGTGTTAAACTGGTGGTTAAGCGTAAGATGCCAAAGCCCACGATTTCTAGGCTGTTGATTTTTCTTTATATATTAAGTTGCTCGTACGGCGAATATCACATAGGTATATTAGTAAGTCAAATTGGTGGTTAAAACAAATTCAAACAAGGTTTAAGCAAGTTCAAACTTGCTGCTATTATGATAAATATCTTGATCTATCTATCTTCCAGTACCTTGATCTATCTATCTTCCAGTATCTTGATCTATCTATCTTCCAGTATTCAGAAAATATTATAAAAACTTTATTTTGAGACACTAATATAGCAATATAAAGTACACAGAAAGTTCTGCAACTAAAGATTTATCTAAATTTTATCTCTTATCTGAATAATTGTATTAATTCGTAGATTTTCATATAATACTAGCGGACTCTACAGACGTTGTCCTGCATTTCAAGCGATTAGGATATTAAACAAAGTATGAAAGTATCTGCGTCATCTGCCGGGCTCATTTGTGAACGTAAACTATCCAGGGCGCCGGGAAAAATGTATTCAATTCGGTCCAGCCGTTTAAGGGGAGTTAAGTGACATACCTTGTGTATATTTTAGTGTGTATACAGTAGAATTATATTTATAAAGATTAAAAACAACGATTTTGTTAATCTGAAGGCCAAATCTTATGTTTTATATAATGTTGTAAATACAGAATAAACAAATTACACGCTAAGCAAAAGAATAACTGAAAAAGCTGTGCAAGCTAAAAATTTATTTAATGTAAAAAGCAACAAAATTCGATTTGGGTCATCCGCATACTCAGCGAACTTGTTAAAACAACCTACTTTACAAATTGTGAATCACGTTGACAGCCGATACGAAATCAATATCATCAATACTGTTTTTATCTATAGGTAAGCTTAATATTTAACATTTTGTTTATGATTTTTTGTTTAATATTATGGCAATAGTTTTAACTTTATGCCAGTTTTACTAGTATTGCAAAACATATAAAACCTATTTTATTGTACAAAAAAAATGTGGCCAGTATGATGGCACGATTTCCTCGCTATTTAGAATGCATATCGACGTAGGAAAGCATATTTGCTGTAAGTAGACAAAATACCTAAAGTGACTTTTTACTGTCATTAGAATCAGAAAAAAATACCGCATCGAATGTCCCGGGTCCTGTGTCTCTAAAAAAAAAAAAGGTTGAAAAACCTTTTTTTTTTTTTTTTTAAAAAAAAAAAATTTTTTTAAAAAAAAAAAAAAAATATAAAAAAAAAAATTTAAAAAAAAAAAAAAAAAAAAAAAATTTTTTTTTTAAAAAAAATTTTTTTTAAAAAAAAAAAAAAAATTTTTTTTTTTTTTTTTTTTTTTTTAAAAAAAAAAAAAAGAAAATATTTTTTTTTTTTTTTTTTTTAATTTTTTTTTTTAAAAAAAAAAAAAAAAAAAAAAAAAAAATTTTTTTTTTATAAAAAAAAAAAAAAAAAAAAAAAAAAAATTAATTTTAAATAAAAAAAAAAAAAAAAAAAAAAAAAAAATAAAAAAAAAATTTTTTTTTTTTTTTTTAAAAATTTTTTTTTTTTTTTTTTTTTTTTTTTTTTTTTTTTTTTTTTTTTTTTTTTTTTTTTTTTTATTTGTTTTATTTATTATAAAAAAAAAAAAAAAAAATTTTAAATAAAATTTTAAAAATTATTTGGGGGGGGGGGGGGGGGGGGAGTGTTAAAAAAAAAATTTTAAAAAATTTTGGGGTATGTCGACACTATTAATTTTTTACCGAAATTTATTAAGTTTTTTGGCTCTGGTGAACAATTGCAATATGTCTACTTACAGCAAATATGCTTTCCTACGTCGATATATACGAGTACCTACGCTGTGCACTGGCTGACCACCAGTACTGTCTACCTGGCGCCTGCTTCAATTAGCTCTCGTACTTGTACCGCAGCAGTCTCTAATCCAAATGGTAAATAAAAGTTCAAAAGTAATTAAATACATTCGTTTTTTAATCGTTTATTATTTTTCATTTTATTTGTTGTCATTTTTTTGATGGACTACTACAGATGCTATTGGTTGGTACTTGGTAGTATCGTTTGTTATCATTTCAATCTTTGGGTATTGTCTTTGAAAACGTAATACGTAAAAACCATAGATACACAAAATATAATAGATACAATCTTCCTATTACAGATGACAAGAAAAGATGTCCTTAAATACTAACATTTTAACTCATTTAGGACAACATTAGAATTTAATTAAATATTAAGGCGTGTATGAAATATAATTTATAGGTTTGATAATGATGAAACAGTTATAAGTAGCGTATTCAAAGCTAATGCGATTTGCTTCCAAATTAAGCTATCGGAGGCTACACGTGGATATGATTCTAAAACGAATGCCTAACAGTAATTTATAGATAAAGTGGCTTTTAATATTTGAACTTTTCTTGTGGAAATCATTTGTCGTAAATCCAGTAAACGCTTTTTATAAAGTTCATTAACTGCAATACGAAGGAGATATTTTAAAGGTGAAACATGAAAATAAATGTAAGAATAACAAAAAATTTGCTTAGACGTCTATAAAGTATTGAAAATAATTCTGGCATGTGTGTACAAAATACACAAACGCCATAAAGTTATACGTGAACTTGCCTAATATGTAAATGACGTATGAGCAATAGAGCAAGACAATGTGTCGTTTGGAGTGCGTCCTAGAACAACTAATTGTCGTTTTAACAAGACGATGTCCTCAATAACTTGGACTCGCGCCACCCCTAAGGATGCCCATTTCCTTGTAGCTGATTACGGCTCTCGCACTAAAAAAGTACAATCATAGTGCTCTCCGGCGCGGAACGCAGTGTCCTCATTTGAATACAAACTCACGCGCAATGCGCACACACCCTTAGCCGAACACAACTACAACACTCTCAAGCTGAAATCGACTATAATGACTTACAAGTAAAGCTCAAACTGTATTGATAGAACAAATTACGTGCCCTCTTTTCAAAGTCAAAAGAAGAGGGATTCTCGCGCGCTAGAACGGGAGGGCGCTATGCTCGAGGAGGACGGAGGACTATAAGGGCATTCACCCCGTACCCCGTGGGTAGCGAAGCTACAAATGATGTACAAGCATAGATGCCTTTCTCTATTTAGGTGCGCACGAGTTTCGAAATAGTGGCCGTGGAACTTTTTGTTGGGAGGTGGATCCTGTTTTGGTTGCGTCACCGCATAAGTTCGGCTATTGCCGTCTTGAGAGCGTACAGGTGTGTGTTTGGTGCCTTTCAAAATGACCACCTCTCTGACTTTATGGTACCTTACGACCATCGACCCTAAAGTTGAAGTATTCCGTTAATTAAAGCGCATAGATGTTCTTTCATAAAAACTTCTGTATTAGCTTTTTGTCGCGACGTTATTACGAAATCTTTCGTATTATTTAAATAAATTATTAATAATTTATTATAATTTTGAAAGACGTTCTATAAAAAGTCGACATTCATCATCATATCAATTATATATATGTTATGGGATATGTTAATAACGGCATTTTTATATAAGATTATTAAGTTGTCAGTGTATTGCGGTTAATATACACTTTATAATATAAACAGACGCAATGCGCTTAACCGCAAACATATTTTTACGGGAAGACACGTTACTGTAATTTGTTTGAACAACAGGAAATCATCACCTGATAACTTGTCACGTTTATTATAAACTGGATGACCTTGAATAAGTCGCCCTTATATCTTCTTTATCTTACAGCTCTAACAAATAACCTATTATAACAAGACTGATAATTATTTCCCCATATCCTAGATAAATCCATCTTGTTGAGTGACCTATGGTCTCGTCGGAAGTCCCATTAAACTAAAAATACTAAATTCTTACATTATGACAGTCCGTATTCGACAGTGACAATCAAAGGTTGACAATTGTCAAAATTTGGTTAAATTAATTAATAAGAGCAATTTTTATAAGCAACGAGTGGGATTGTAATAAATTAAATATACAGAATGTCTCAAAAGAAAGTTCATAATATTTAGTTGATCGATTAAAAAAAAGTAAGTCGTGTATCAAAAAAGTGTTTATTCATTATTAAAGTACACATTTTGGGAATTTATTTCTTAAAAATAATTTATTTATTTTATTCCATATCATTTTATCATAATAACATATAATAAAAACATTTATATCATAATACCGGCAAAATGTAGACTCAGAACTTAGGCTTAGGTAATATATTTATTGTGTATAAAAAATACATCTAAAGTAAAATTGTCTAACTTTTAAATTTCGCTCTGTCGGTATTTTTACGATGTAATTAGGACTACTTACTTTTGTTTCTATTTTAAGAATTAAACAAATATTCAAAGACCTTGACTCATTTTCAGCTTGTCTACCAATAAATAATCTATATTTGATTATTTTTATCGTCATTCATTCTTTGATGAAACCCTTTGGTTTAAGATACAATTCCGAGTTCTATTTGATATGTATTTAATTTGTATGTGATCTGCGCGCTGGAAGCGCGCTGGCCATAACCTCTCAATATTTGTATTCAATTAGATGTAATTATTATGTATGTATAAATTAAACGTTTATTGTCTTGTAATAATTTTACTCATTACATACGAAACAGGGATACATAGCTGGCCTGAAAGATATGCAGCTTACCGAAGGCCGAAGTTTTTTTTAGAACAGGGGGCAAACGGGCTGCACTCGCACCTTTAAGTTATATCGCCGCCCATGGACACTCACTCAGAGGACTAGCGAGTGCATTGTCAAAGCATGACCGATGCACAACAAAACCTCATACATCAGAACACATAGATGTAGGAGTGTGTTTATATGTAATATAACTGTAAATACTTGCCGTATCGGGGCGACACGTAATGGCAATTTAATTGGTCAAATAAATAATCACATAAGCTATTAATAAATGGTCCAAAATTATCTCATTATGTGCGCTGCAAATACTGCAAGATTTACAGGAATAAAATGTATGGTGTAAGTAGTTTAACAAAAAATTCCGGGACAGGGAGAAATTGGCTGTGCTAAAAATCAATTTGGAACTGTTTAGGATAAACATCTTTTGTATGGCAATCATAATTTTATAAAGGTTTACCATAATTTACCAAAATAATTAAAAGATCTTCCGACTAGAGTTCTTAAAAATCGACTTGGTGTATTGCTTTTGGAAAAAAATTATTACTCAATAAATGATTATTTGCGTGAGACACTGTAGTTGATATAAATTTAATAACGTATGATATGATATGTACGATACAAATAATACAAGAATCTACTAATTCATATGACTAATAATGTAAAATGTAAAATTCATTTAAAGACAAATTTGCGCGCCATCGTGTGTGGCAGAATATGCGAACTTATGATTACATTACACATTTTTGTACCATTCTTGCAATAAATTATTATTATATATTTTGTAGGTAAGCTATTATCGCTATAAAGGTGAATCGACAATACAATAAAAGTTTTAGAAATAAAATAGGCTACTCTAAGTACTATTCTCGCGCAGATAAAGTGGGCAGAAGCTTGTTAATAAAGCCATCTCGCTTTAAAGGTAAATTTAGTAACATTGAAATGTTTCACAATGGCAGGCGTTAATATAAATTTGATTGATGTTTTTAGAAGCTGTTTTAATAACATTTAAAAGTATGTTATACGTTTATGTAGATAGACCGCAATCATGGAACATATTGACATTTAGTTTGCGTATCCGATAATATGATACATTTCCCCACCCCCGATAAATTGCCAACAATATGCGGGTGTTATCGATGTACGGGGGAAACACCCCCAGGACTCACCCGTTATAAATTTATCTGCGATCAATATTGAGGAAAACTACCAACATGAAAATAGAACCCGTATCAACTGTGAAAATGTTTCGTTGCTTTAATTATTGGTAAAATAACGTTATGATGGAAGATTACGGTAAAAGATGTTTTATTTAACATGAATACTATTAAATCATTTAATAGTATTCATGTTTTTAATAGTATTCAACTAATCCGTTTACAGATAAAAATTCATACACTAACATGAATATGCTACCATAAATATGATAATTGTCGGAGATATCTATTCTAGACGTTGCAGGTTAATTCACGAGCGTAATTTAACAAATAAAGCAGCTGATGACAGCCGCCATTTTGTTTTTCAATAAGTTTCAAGATTAAGCCTTTCTCGATGCTAGATTCGAATTTCAAAAAGTTGAGAGAAGTTTATCGGTATAATAAAAAATATTGTTTTATAGGTTTAATAAGTATATTAATCATTCAAAAGGAATAAGTTTGGCATGGATTCAAGACATACATTCCATGGAAAAAAAGAAACTGGCCAGTCACCCCCGTAAAAAAACAAAACCGCTCCCGAAGGTGAACCCTTTCGGATTCAACTCGTTGGAGATTTGAAATATTTTTTGTTCCTAGGTCGGGAAACAAAGAATCTAAATAATACAAATGTTCGGAGTATCAGATAAGTTATACATTAAAATATATCGATTGATTGCTTTTTCCGTACATTGTGCCATTTCACGAGTTCTCTTCGAAACTTTTATAATTGTTGCTTCATTCGTCCATATGTTCAATTGATAAGTAAAAATAAATCAGTGGCACTACAACCTTTATAACCAACCAGGGCCTCAGATTTCTGTTTCATGATCATTTCGCAATCTAATAGGCAAGTAGGTGATCAGCCTCCTGTGCCTGACACACGCCGTCGACTTTTGGGTCTAAGACAAGCCAGTGTCCTCGCGATGTTTTCCTTCACCGTTCAGCAAATATTAAATGCGTTTATAGAAAGAAAGTCCATTGATGCACAGCCGAGGAACGAACCTCAGGGAAGTCGCATGCTGGAGCCACTAAAAATATGTTTATTATGGAACATAAGATACATGTATCACTTATTCCACGTCATTAAATTTGAAGGCATCCCTACTCATCGGCAAAGAAGACAGAGGGTGTAGGCCGAGAGAAAAAGCCGGCGTAAAAAACTCTCGGTACTCTTTTAAAACAGCAAATCATCAAACAACACTTATTTAAAACAAATATCGCAAATTGATTAGAAGTAGCCTGTCTAGCACTAGTCCCAGGCCCTTTTATCAACTAGATAATCGTTGACTTTATAGTAAGCCTTTTTACCACCACCACTAGGCCACTAGGCCAACACTGCTGTTAATTAATAATTGAGCCTTATTTGATATATATTGTATGCCATTGGTAATATCTATACACAATGAAAGAAAAGTCCATGAATGCAAAGCCAGGATTCCGCAGTGGGTCGTTAAAGGTGGGTACGTCGTTAAAGTACCAAAAAAATCGAAAAATCATAATTCTAAATTTAAACAAGGGAAGATATAATCAAGTAATAAACAAACATAAAATATTTTGCCATTCTCTGTGGGCATTAGACCGGCAAAATTATGAATGAGAGCGCTCCCCATGTCGCCATGACTTGTGACTCCGCTCGTGACGTCATTTTGCCACTGATGTTAGTTACTGGATCTACCTAAAAATATTAGAAAAAAATCTATGAACAGACTTTCTTCTAGAATTTTATATATTTTAATTAAACTTTTAAAATGATTGAAACGCTAATTACATTTTCTTTATACATATATATTTGTGTACCTATTTTATTAATATGTATTTGTCACGGTCGGTGACAGCTTGTCACTTAGATTATTGACAATTGAAGGACATTTCAATATTACATTTACGGCTTATATATCTTCTTATATTGGTTTAAATTGATACTAAACAAATTATTGTAAAAACTTCAGTTGTATTGCATTATGAAGTATTTTTCTATGATTTAATAATACTACACTGGACGCTTTTCATGACAAAGCGTTAATGCACAACTTTTAAATAAAGAACACTTGGAAATTTGCCGCGAAAAGATCAACCATAAATAATAGAATTCTTGTCTCATCCATGCCTTTAACTCACACGGAAATCATGAGCACTTGTCGTTTGACACCATGAACCGATAAGCGAGGGGGCGCTTAACTTACAGGTTATTAAACCTCCATAGGCCCATCAGGAAGATTCCCTTATTAGGAAGCACTACCTTAATTTTAAAGAACCCTCTAATTCAAAAACGCACTACAATCATCCTATAGTTATTGAACAACACGTATAAAAAATAATTTCACTACTTCAGAAACGAGAAACGAAATGCTGCCAGCGTTAAAGGTAAACCGCCACAGGGACTAAACTTTTTAAATTTGTTTTAATTTTTTTTTATAAATTTTTAATTAATATTATTATTATTACTATGAAGGTTAAGAGCAG